CTGAAAAAGAATATATTTAACATATGATTTTTTGTTGATTTTGGAGACGAATAAAGTAAACATATTTTAAAGTTGAATTGTAAGTCCCAAAAAGTCCGGGCTCAGGACGTGCAAGTGTGATAAATTCTTGTAAGTTAAATATTATAACAAAACATGACTTCCATGATAATTTATGCAATAAGATTAGTTTTGGACTTTTTCGAACCGATACTACTAAATGTATATGCTTTGCAAGTTACGTTTTAGGCTGGAGAATCACAAACCAAATGCATTTTTTAAACCATGTTTTAGTCTGTGGTCACAGGCATTTATACACAGAGAAAATAATGCCGTTCTCAAGTGGAGTAATTGTATTCTCAATTTGAGGATGTACTCAGTTTAAGTACAAAATTTGTGGCAAAAACTCAAGTTAAGAAAAGCTGCACTCGTTTTAAGAAAAAGAGCTTGAATTGATCACTGTACTGAAACAAACTTGCGCTGCGCAGGAATCTCAGGAATCTGCGTGCCTAATCCCAGTATTGTAACTCTCATAGTTTCCGAGATCTCAGCGTTCATACGGACAGACGGACAGACGGACATGGCTAGATCGACTCGGCTAGTGATCCTGATCAAAAATATATATACTTTATGGGGTCGGAAACGCTTCCTTCTGCCTGTTACATACTTTCCGACGAATCTAGTAAACCCTTTTACTCTACGAGTAACGGGTATAACAAACAGTTCATAAGGATAGATTAAAAACGTTTATTTCATAATTGCATTTAGCATGGCCATGCTTTAGAAATACTTCTTCTTTTAATACGAATATTATTCCCAATTTTATTCTCTTTGTATAATAAAAATAAAAATAAAAACAAATAAAAAAAAAGATTACAAAAAAATAATTATTCCTTTAAGCAAAATATACTAACAAAATAACTTCATAATATTACGTTATTTTTCAAAAGGAGGGAGATGTAGTATGCACATATATTGAATAACTACTGTACCTAGAGTACTTGAAGCAAACACACTGTAACACTTTGTTGCAGTGTTCACATAAACAAAGGCACGGTCAAAAACCCAAGTTGCCGAAACATGAGTCGATCGGCGCGCTCACAGAAAGTGCAAGTGTCAGCATTCTGTTGCACACGCCGGCCGCTCAGCCAAACTCAAGTACATACATATACCCTCGCGCTCCAGCTAAAGGGTGCACAATTAAATACACTAATATACATAAGATATACATAGCCGTCTCTCTGCCATCCAACTGTAGGCAGCGCAGCTACGGGACTTAGGCTTACTTAGAACCTAAGGAGAATTGTAAAGTCAGAAACAACTTGACGTTGGAAGCGGCACTAATGCTGCTCCAGATTTTGAATAAAGATTTTAAATAAAGATTTACAATAACAAATAACAGATGTCTACTCTATATGGGGACAGGATTTTAAATAAGGAATTACAATAACAAATAAAAAATGACATTACTCTACATGGCGACCGTGACATTGGTCCGAAGGACCTGGATATGGACCTCACAAGATAAGAAGGCAGCAAACGGCAACAACAAAAGCAACAAACGGCAACAACGGCGACAACGGCAACAACGGCAGCAACGACAGCATACATTACAAAAACAAGAACCATGAGAAGAAACGCAGTGAGTAGAGTGTGATGTGTGCCAAAAGAAGTGGCGTGGTAAAAAGATTGAAAGCCAGAAAGGCTCAACTACTGAAGCTGCTCAACAGCGGCAAGGCAATAAAATGGAACGACTCGGTAAAAATACGTGCCGAAGTTGAATACTTAAAAAATTTGCTATCAGTACGTAAGAATCAGACCACAGCCACAGACACATCCACCTACCCTGTAATCCCAAATATTGCCAAAAATAAAAACACATTGCCTCCTCCAGAAAAAGTTGCCATCCCAAAGCTGAAGAAGACGTGCCCGGATGACTGCGAGAGACCACTGTACTCCCCTTCTGCGAGTACACCTGTGTAGCCAGCACCGGTGCCCCACCATGAGGTACAGCCTGTGCAGCAAGCCAGCGTTGCAAAAAATTTTTTATTGCACTGCGATGCATATTTTTTCATTTATTTTATATAAACAAATGTTAAAATTGAGCGACATAAAAGTTGCCCGATTAGAGTATGGCCTGAAAACCATACACAAAATAGGCAGGAAATTATATGTCAAATATAATAATAAATAAAATATTATATGTCAAATATAATAAAAAAGTCAAATCAAAATTAATCATATCAAACTAGTTGTTAATGAATAACATTAACAACATTTACGAATTAATTCAAAAATCTAAAGTATTTGACAGACCAAGATATATATTAAGAATACCAACCCCAAAGATGGGTTTAATATATACAAAAATAGTGGATTCCACTGCAAATGTTATTAATAAGGTAGAGTCAAACACCATTGACTTAGAATTAATTCATACATTGCTAATAATAATTGTTGTTATAATGTGCGCAAACTGTTTCCATAAGAAAAAATATATGAGCCAGGCAAATGTTCTGGACAAAATTTAAAAATTTTGGCACAAACAATATAAAAATATTGATGTATTACAATTTTAAAAATTAAAGAAAATGGAATAAAATAAAACTAAATAAATAAAAATAAATTAATTAAAAATGGCTACTCTAAAAGCAATTAGAGACACATATGATAGGGACATTCATTTTAAAGAAAGTTGCACCAACTTCAGTAAGCATTTATGAATTAGAAAATGTATATATTGAAACATTTAATTTAGATGCCTCTCCACTAATTCATTGCACAAGCACCCAAAAGGGAATTGTCCTATCCACCATCCCAGGGGTACAAGTTAGATTAGTAGTAGACGAACACCCAATACTAGGTAGAACAATAGTAATGATGGTCTTTAAGAAATAATTCATCTCCACAATATATTGGAATGGAATGAATTATATAAGCAGATAAATAACATAAAAGTTGACTTTGACAAATCATATAAGTCACTTACTCAAAACAGGCCAATTCAAAAAAATACCATTAAAAAACATGTGGAAATTCTAGTAAAATGCTTTAATGAAGCACGAATACTAATATATGGCCAGAGGGAAAAATTAAATCAAGATCATTGGTCCCAAGTATCAAAATTTTTGATGAGACTACGATCTAATTTAATATCAATTAAACAAAAGTTTAAGTTGGACATATCAGTACCAACTATACTTAACACTTTCCTAGCAGTTGAAACTGGTGATGAATCGGAATCAACAAAACAAACTGACATTGACCAAATAGAATCAGAAGACCTTACAGAAACAAATCCTAAAATAGAAGAGCAAGATTTAAATTGTACGCCGGGGGGCAGCGGGGTACCGTGCTGGCGCTGGTGGAATGGCGTGGGAGGCGACGGCGGGAAAACGTTCGGCGTCGGCGGGCTGGTTCGAAGGGCTTCGCTGGCTTGCTGCTGGTGCGGTTTGCTGCTGGTGCTGATGAAGCTGTAGGGGAGAAACCACTCGAACGCGTATTTGCCCCTTAGTCGGAAATAAAAAGTGCACAAAAAGTTAAACTGGGTAATAAGTAGGCGGGGGTACGACCGCGGTTTATTCTCTGGAACTTCAGAAATCGAACTGACTTAGTCTAAGCTCCGCTCTGCGCTCCAAAGCGCAGCGGAGACTTCATGGCGGGAGCTAGGAACAGCGCAGGAGAGCGGGAGCGCTAGAGAGCGGGAGAGCGGGAGAGCGGGAGAGCGGGAGAGCGGTAGAGCGGTAGAGCGGTGCAGCTGGTGCAGCTGGATAGCGGGGCCAGTCCAGATTCGCCGGACAGTGGGCCTGAACATTCCGCCCCCCTTGCAATCGCTAGCGTTGCAAAAATAATAACGGGGACGGAACTTCGGCCAGCCGCCTACGCCTCAAGCCTGCGTACAGGCGCCGGAGACGATCCACCCGAACACCGTCTTCTGGGCTACCGGCAGTCCCTCGTCGACCATGTGAAAGCCCGGCTTTATCACCTTCGGGTAGACGTCTGCGCCCAGGATCAATGAGATCGTGGCTGGCCGGTGGAAAACCTCATCCGCGAGCGGTAGCTCCTTAAATTTTTGGACGACGCTCTCACTGAGCGCACGGATGGGAGTGCGGATGCGCACGTTAGGCTCGATCTTGAGGACCACCTCCAGCTTGATGGCCTCGTCGACCCTCGAACGAATCGTCGCCGTGCATATGCTCTCGTCGCCCACGTTCGTTGTCGGCAAACGCAACGCGGCGGCCAGGGATGCATCAATGGAGCTTGTCGGGGTGCACGGATCGATGAGTGCGGCGGTGTCGAACTTCTTCTCTCCGGTCTCGACGATCACCACAGCAGTCGGGAGGACATTAACGCTATGCCGCTGGAGAAGTGCGGCGAGCGACGGAGCTGGTGTCGAGGATGCTGAGCGCGGTGGAGGAGCAGGCGTTTGGCGAGTTGGCGGATCTTGCCGGCGCGAACGCTGCGGAGAAGCGGGCTGTGGCTTGGAGCGGGACTTTTGCTTAGAGCGGGACTTTTGCTTGGAGCTGGACTTTTTCCGGGAACCAAGGTCATGCATGTGCAGCAGCGTGTGATGATCCCGGTTGCACGTTCTGCACCGGTCACCGCTACGACAGCTCCCAGTGGAGTGCTCGTGTGCGAGACAGTTCGCGCAGTACTTGTTAATAAGCACTGCCCGCAGCCGCTTCTCTGCGCTCAGCTTTAGGAACCTCTGACACTTTCGAAGAGGATGGATTCCGCGGCAGACTCGGCATCGGTAGGACTGAGTACCTCGAGTACGTCTGCTATCCAGAGCCTGAGCGCTACGTGGACGGGGAGCCATTTTCCTGTTTAGAGTGTGGATAAGGAAAAAAACAAACGGCTGATTAACACTGACGTGGAAAATGGCTACGGACTAGGGTGTGTAAGAAACGCGGCTCGTTACGAGGTAGTTTTGGGCGGCTCTCTTGGAAGAAGAACCACCTTGGTCACTGGACGTTTGACAATGCCGCGTGTCGTACGAATGT